GCTTTCTGAAACTTCATTTCCACTGGGGACTGCATCCCCGCTGCCTCCATTGACTTCCGGCTCTTGTTTGGCTTTCTTTGCATCATCTTTCCGGGGACTCTCGTCCTCTGGTTTCCTCTAAAGATAACAAGTATGAAGGCTTTACAAATGTGCTTACATACCTTTTAAAAGACAGCCGTAATTGTACCACTGATTTCTACTGGTCTATTGAAAGGAACAGTTAATGCCTGAATTTTTCAATTTTTTTGAACAATGTAATCTGAACTAATTTGAAGACAATGACATAACCACTGTTCATTCCTATCATTTCGTTTAGTGAAATGTTTCTAACTACTTTTTATGCTCTTCTAAAAAGAAAAAATTAGACAAAAAAAATAAAAAATAAAAAGAAAAAATTTTTTAAAGATAACTAAACTGGACTTGGCATGTGCCTGTAATGCCAGCACTTAGGAGGCTGTGGCAACAGTTCAAGGCCAGCCTGAATTACATAGTAAGATCTTGTTTCCAAAAATAAATGAACGAACAAAAATGACAACTTGTAAATCTTCCATAACCCTTGTGGCAGAAAGACCCTAAACACTGGGACTTAGCTGCAAGTCCTCCTAGTCAGTGGGGGAAATGCAAACCTGTACCCTACAAAACAAACTACAATCTTACTCTTAGTCAGTTCAGTTCAGCCTCCCTAGACTAAGAACTTTATAACGAAGTATGAAACATCTTAGAGGGGAGGGAGTGTGGGTTTCCCCAAAAAGAAATAACCACAGAACTATGGAAAGGAGGTAGACACTCATCGGAATTTAAGGATCAGCAGGCCTGCTGCTAAGTGACTACTGCAAGGGAAAACCTTCCAGCTTCCTAAAATGCACCAATCTGATTGTTTCCTATTACTTGGTGGGCAAAGGCCACAAGGATTAAGTGTTTCACTGCACTATTAGAAGGTTTTGTAGGGGATGTGTTCTTTGTGTATTGCTTGAGGACTCAAAAAAAAACAGGAAAAGAAACGAGCACATGTAGGTTTTACCTTCTTTCTCACAAGGTGGGAAATATCAGTCACACAATTTGATGAGGAAGCACCATCTGTTCTTCTACTGGCAATCTGACAACAGAAGCAGCCTTTGTTAGCAATGTACAAGGATATGATGAAACCAGCAGTGAGGCCTAACATTAAATGACAAAAATAATCATCAATACCCACCATAGATACTGAAGAGCCTCCTCCACTAGAAGTAAAACCCGAAGTAGAACTCTCCACCTGTGAGACATGACAAATCAAAGCAAATCCCAACTTATAAAGAATCCAGGCCACCCAATCTCCCATGTCCTCCCTACAAGACAGAAAAATTTTCCTGGTATCATGACAACCACAGCTGGCCACCTGGGGTCTCTTAGTGCAGCACTAATCTATACAATACCTTCTTAGTAACAACAGCTTATATTTATTAAGCAATTCTTTTATGTCTGGTACTGTCCAAGTAATGTACACATTGTACTACCATTTCTATTTTATAATTCAACAAGGCAGAGTTGAATGCCCATGGTCACACACACTGTAACACAGATGGAATTCAAGTCCAATCTGGGCTGGAGCCTACTGTCCCATTGCCACTGTACCATTTCTCATTCCCTCTCATCAACATCCAGACTAAGTCATGAAAAAAGTTCTTAGAAAAATTGAGCATCAACATTAATAGTAATAACATTAACAGTACATTAATATTTAAATGTTTTAAGGCTTTAAAAGGCAAGTGAACAAACCAGAGTAGCTTTTAGTGCTAATTCAGCTACATTCCCACTACGCTGGGACTCTTTTGCATCTTCTATCTTCTCTCTGATTTCAGGTAGCAGTTCCTTCAATTCCTCAATTTCTTTCTCATATTCAGTAGGTGATCCTTCAGCCTCCTTCATCTGTTCCTTTAGTACAGCTACATAGAACAGACTTGAGTGAGCATTAACAATTATCACCAAAGTATCCATTTTTAACATTTTCCATTACCATTACAACAAAGCAGCTGCTATTCACTCACCCATCCTCTTCTCAATGACTTCAATAGATTTGCTGAACTGTGCCACTGCCTCGTCATACTGAGAGTTGTATCCGTAGGCCAAGCCCAGCTGATAATGAGTCTCTGCGAGGAGACGGTCATGTGCTTCCAAGTACTGCTCCTGCAGGGTCAGGCAGGCCTGAAACTCTTCCAAAGCTTGGACATAGTTCTCTAGAAGACAGAATCAACAGCAAGAATTGGGTAGCATTTAACTATTTCTAAAATTCAAACCCATTCTGCAGAAATACTTGCACTATTTCACTTTTTGTTTTTAATATCCATAGGATGCTTAGCTATACAGAATGATAAAATGACTTTTAAAAAAAACTACAGAAGGGGGGGCATGCCTCAGTGGCAGAGCACACTGAAACGTGTTATGTACAAGGCCCTAGCTTTAATCCCCAGCACCAAAAAAACAACCCACTGTTACTTAGATTCATTCTAGGACTATGAAGAAGCCACCCAACTAACTACTACAATCAGTGAAGCTGGACGCTAGAAAATGTCTTACAAGGGAGAATGGGGGGGGGGGGGTAAGGGAGGCTGAAGAATAAGAAAAAAGCATTACCAGATTCAACACTAACTTCTCCAAGTTTAAGATGTGCCTGTGCAGCATAAAGCTGGGCTTCTTTTGTTTCTTGCCTAGGAGGAAAGTTGATCAGAAACAGCATTGATCCAATACTAATTACTTTCAATTAATCTGAAGTTAGCAGCACAAAATTTTACCTTTTAAAAATGATCTTTGCTAAATCCAGCATATCCCAGGCAAGCTCTAGGTTCCCAATGTCTTCCTCTTCACTTTCTTGAACAGACTAAAGTAAATCCAAATTATTGGTATTAGGCAGAATTATAAAACAGGTGTGATTTTAGTGTAAAAATAAGTAGTTTGTAAGGCTTAATGAAACTATCCTAAGTCATCATCTTCTGTCAATTCAATGTAAAAAAGCTACCAATATGTTGAGTTCTATCCTCACAGACATGACTCTCTCAGATCAAACAACTCTGTCCACTAGAAGCATGGGTAAAGGGTCCTAACATCTATCCAAAAATCAGCTTTCTACAAAAACCATTTCTGTACTACTAAGCTATAGTCCCATAATGATAAAAAGAGAACAGTACTGAACAAATAATAACTTGCCTTGTTTTCAACAATGATTTCATTTGGTATTTCTTCTGCCTTGTCATTTTCTTTATCTTCTTCTTCTGAGCCTTCAGTTTCTATGAGCAAAAATTCCACAGAATTGAAAATGTAACTAAGGTCCTGCTCAAAAGATTCCAATAAATATATGCTATCTTACATTCTGAGACAAGACACCTACAAGCTAATCCAAGTCAGTTAACATCTGATCTAAATAGATAGTGGTTACACTGAAATTCAAAACGTTATCCTAATTTACAATCTACAACTTATACATCAGATCTTCAGCAATTAAAAGACGGAGCAAATACTCTGGTGTTTCTTAGCCTTTAGGGTAAGTGTTCTGTAAAATTTAACAAATTATTCAGAATGAGATTGATTAGCTGCTGCTTCTTGTTCATGGACTGGAAACTCATACCCAAACAGCCAAAAGTAGGTAAGCTACTTGGGACAATATATTTCTGTTTTTCACACACAAACGCTGTACCAGGGATTGAACTCAGGACCCTGTGTTTGCCAGGTAGGCACTTATGCCACTGAGCTATAACCCTGGCCTCTACTGTTTTTAGATGCCACCAATTAAGCAATAGTACAGGTTTGGAAAGTGCCTCAAACTTAAGTCTCAGTCTGTTACAAAAGCAGAAAAAAACTAGCTTTCCCACAACAGAACTGTGAGAAAAAATACACGGTTCTTAACAATCTCACCAATGAGCATGCCACAGTCTCTAGCCAGCAGTAGCATATAGACAATCTTGAGTGACCAGACTAGCTATTGCAATGATTCCATTTAAATCTGTGGTCACAGTCAGCACCATTAGTTTTACCTGTTGATACAGATATGCTGCTAATAAAGCAGTCTAGTGAAATATAAAACAACTTTTCTTTTTTCAGTACAGAAGGTTGAAGGTAGGGTCTCTTCATTAAGCCACATTAAAGCCCTTTTAAAAATTTTTATTTTAATTTAAGACAGTCTCACTACATCACTAAATTGGGTGGGCTTGGCTCAAATTCACAATCTTCCGGCCTCAAACTCCCAACACTTGAAATGTCACTTGTTTTGCACCAGCCTAGGTTAATTTTATTTTATTCTTTTATGTGGAGATAAGTTTAAAAACATGTAAGTATGTGACCAGGGATTTTCTGGTAAGAGCTGGCTAAAGAAAAATAACAGCTGCCTTCCTTAATAGAAGGTAGCTTGAGAACAGTACATTTAAAGTGGATCTAGGGGCTAAGGACATAGCTGTGGTCTAAGCGCCTGCCTGGCAAACACAAGGACCTGGGTTCGATCCCCAATACTGCAATATTGTGCCAGCCCCGCACCAAGCTGGGCTAGCCACTGGAATCAGGCATGGTGATACATGCCTGCTAAGGCAGGAGGCTCACTAGGAGTCTCAGCTGCATAGCAAGACCCTGTACCAAATAAATAAATGATTAAACATGAAAAATAAAGTGGATCTAGGATCAGACTTAGTACTATCATAAAACACGCTGACTAGGATCATATGACCTAAAGCCTCAGCTTCTTTAAGTATTCACCTATATTGTTTTATACCTATATAAGTATTGTTTTATATTCTCTTGTAAGTATTATTTTAGGGCCAGGGATATAGCTCAGGAGTACAGTGCCTGCCTTACAAGCATAAGATCCTGAGTTAAGATTCCCAGTACTGGGCCGGGGAGATGGCTCAGTGGAATAAGTGCTTCCCTGGCAAGCGCAAGGGCCTGATGTTCAAAATCCCCAGTTCCACCAAAAAATAAAAAAAGATTCCCAGTACCAAAAAAAAAGTGCTGTTTTAGAACTCGAAGTACTATACAGAAATACATATTTACTGTAGCTTATTAAAGTCCAATTTGAGAAAAAAGGCAGAGCTTAAAGTCCTTGTTCATTATTCCAATTAAGAGCTGGAACCAGATGTGTTGGTAAACACCTGTAATCCCAGCTGTCAGGAGGCTGAGACCACTAGTGCTCAGAGTTGAAGTCGAGCCTGTACCACATACAGTTAGACCGTCTCAAAAAAAGAAAGAAAAAAAGAACTGGGCCTGCTTATTACCAATCTCAGCACTCGAAGAAGCTAAGAGGACTGGAAGTTTGATCCTATCCTGAGAAACTCAGTGACTTAGACCCTACATAAGAAGGGCCAGGGATAAAGTTCTGTGCAAATGTTCTGAGTTTAATCCCCCAGTACTATAAATAAATAAAATATAGATCAAGGGCAAGTGGTATAGCTCAATGATGAGGTCCTAGTTTCCACTCTTAGCACCACAGATGCACACGCGCACACACACATCAACATCATCATTATCATCATAATCATCATCATCAATTCATAAGCACTTTCTCCTCAAAGAATTTGTACAGCTGAAGAAACAGACCAGGGGGCGGGGAAGATGGCTCAGTAGAATAAGCGCTTCCCTGGCAAACACAGGGCAAGGGCCTGAGTTCAATCCCCGGTTCCACAAAAAAAAAAAAAAAAAAAAAAAAGAAAGAAAGAAAAAGAAGCAGACCAATGGTGCTACCAGTAGTTAGCTAATTCACTTCTGATTACTATGCTTGTATTGGCTGGTATGCAGGGACCTGCCCACAGATAGAGAAGCAGTTTACCAAAATGTTCACATATCAAAGATAGGTTTTTAAAAATCTTTGAGGAAAAAAAAGTCCTTAAAAGAGCTCTAGGCCAGGGAGATGGCTCAGTAGAATAAGTGCTTCCCTGGTAAGTATAAGGGCCTGAGTTCAATCCCCAGTTCTGCCAAAAAAAAAAAAAAAAAGGGAAACTTGTTTGGGGACTGGGGAGATGGCTCAGTAGAATAAGCACTTCCCTGGCAAGCACAAGAGCCTGAGTTCAATCCCAGGTTCTGCCAAAAATAAATAAATAAATAAATAGTTTTAAAAAAGAGAGAAAGCGAGCTCTAAGTGCAATTACACAGCATTAACAATTAGAATATACCTGTTATTAATGCCAAAGTTAGATGAACCTTATATACAGTAGAATCTTCAAATGATAGCACAACTCAAGTCAGACGTGCCAATTACTAATTAGAGGCTTATGTATCTCAATGAATTGGATCACATTTAGAGAAATAAAGCACCTACACTTTATAACATTCCAAGTTCCAAAATTTTCAGCTTAGCAGCCAAAGCAAGCATAAAATGAGGGAAAGCAACAGACTCAGGACTAAATTTTTGTTTTCTCTTATACATAGAGGGGTGCTGCTTCAACTACTGCAAACAAGCCTCTAAACTTTTCCTGAACACTCAAAGTAGAAAGAGGCACCAGAATTCCTTAATGCTGGTGACACAAGATTCCAAGTTAACTGCCTTGATTGAAATGGCATGCCTGCTTAAGTGTACCAATTCACTGGATTCTACTGCTCTTTGTTGTTGCTTTCTAAAGCAGAAGAGAAACCATGTAAACAGTTAAAGTTTAAAACTTGAGGCATGCAAGTGATCATCCATTCAGCATTCTCTGCCAGCCTAGCCCACTATTTCCTTACCTATCCCAGCCCCGCTCATCTACCTTTTCCGTCCCTATATTGGCTAGTGTAGTAAAAGTTACTGATAGCTAGCCAAGTTTCAAACATCACAGAGAAGACCTATTTCGCAGTTAGTAAAAGCGTTAGTTTATAAGCCGGCTAAAGAAGACTTTCTACTTCTGATTTAAATTGCTTATCACAGCCTTTTAAAATCATCCCCTCTATTTAGTCCTTTCCTAATCCAAAGGCAGACGGAAAATCCTGAATGGAAGGCTGACTTTTACCCATGATTATTAGTGAGTCAAAATCCAGAATGTACTCCACCCACTGTAGCTCTTGCATATCCCGGTTACCTTCACCCTCTTTCATCTGTTCTTCTCTCTCTTGGGTCTCTTCATTAGCAGCTATCTTAACTTTGTCGTCAGGTGCTTTCTCAGTAGCCCTCTGGTCTACTTTGGTTTCAACCCCATCTCCTCCAACTGCCTTAGACTCTTCTACAGGCAGCTTCATCTCCTCCTGGCTAGGTACTAACTCTGCCCTGACCTCCTCTTCTAGACCTGAATCACCTTTCGTTTCTGCAGAAGTCTTTGGTTTGATAGGAGTCTGATCTCCTACAGCTGATGGTCCACTGCCTAGACCTTCCTGAGAGAAAACTATGGATTCCTGCTCTGGCTTGTCAGAGATTCCCGATCCAGACTTTGGGGCTAAGGCCTCTGTGGCCTCTGTTGTCATTACTGATGACTCTTCAAAAGAAAGCACTTCTTGTCCTACCAGTTGCTCTAGCAAAGCCTTTCCTGGCTCATTTTCAGAGGCAGCTACCTGTTCTTCTGGCTCATCCCTACCCACATCCACTGGCTTGACCGTGGGCTCCACAAGCTCTGCTTCTACCTCTGCTGCAGTGCCCTGATTTTCCATAGTCACAATATGCTGCTTTTCAGAATCTTCTTCTGGCTTCTCCTTTGTGCTTAAGGTAACCTCTTTCTGCTGCTCCTCCAGAAATTTTTCTCTGCCTTCTTTTTGGATGTCAGCTCCAAAAGCTGGATTTCCTTCCTGTGTGTCTGGTGCTTTCTGTTCTGGCTTCCTGGTAGTGAGCTCAGCTTCATCTAGTCCTTCTGGTCCTGCTGTCGCTTTTGCTTCTTCAGAGGTTTCAGATGATTGACTTGGAGTCAGTGTAACAATTTCCTGTAGCTTCTCCTTAGGCTGAGCAACATCCATATCTTCTCTTCCGCCCTTCTCCATTTCACTCTTTTGTTCCAAATGGGTTTCAGGCTTTGCCAGAGAATTGCCTTCTGTTTTTTTGGCGGCTTCTTTTTCTCCCATGGCGTCATAAACCTGTTCTCTCAACTCTTGCCTTGCTTCCTCTACATGGTTAAAGAACATGAAGCATAAATATGTCTTCGAGTTTAATGATAAAAGCATAAATGGAAACTAAAAATACATTCCCTTTAAACCCTCAAACGGCCTGGCTTTTGTTTTAGCAGATGGCCTAAAAATTTCCTGCCCCCATGAGAAAAGCAAGAGTCCCAGCTAGCAGAACAACTTATTGCAAAAGAGACCCAAGCTCCTTAAGCTAGGTATCATGTCACTTTGAGCATTCTGATTACCAGTTAGGTAAGAGATGCCAAGCTTTTCACTCTCCTTTAAACATTACAGACCCCTATCTGGTTTGTAAAACTAACTCTAAACCCAAACTCAGCTTAGAAATTAATAACTTTCTTAGTCACAAAAAAGTGCTTTATAAGTACTATTAGTCTAACTGAGCTTCATAAACTGGTTTAAAAAAAAATCTACATCAGAAAAATTCCTTGATTAAATTAAATGAATTTTTTACAAAAGGCTATGTTCACTTTCAATAACGGGCTTCCCCACTGCGGTCTGTACCAGATACAGGCAGCACCCCTAGCATCTGGAGAGACCAGCCAGGACAAGGAAAGCCCTATTTCCATCCATGTGTATAAGAAGCATCCGTCGCATGTTTTGAATAACACATGCAACTCCACATACCATCTATGTTATCATTATTTTCTACTAGAGATTCATCTTCTGTTTTTTCACTTTCCTCTTCCACATGCACACCTTCCAAGGCATTTCCCAGTACACCATTCTCCATTCTACAAAAAAAAAAAAAAAAAAAAAAAAAAGTATCAGAGATATTAACATCTACAACTACTCATGTATTATCAAGCAGAAAATGGGCATAAAAGAAAAAAGTAAGTGGAGATAACATAAACCACGCAAGCTATGTGTGATGGGAGACACCTATCATCCCAGGTCCTCTGGAAGCTGAACCAAGAGGATCACAAGTACAAGCCCAACCTGGGCAATTTAATGACTTAGTGAGACTCTTGTCACAAAGTAAAAAATTAGGCTGGGCATGGTGGCACATGTCTATAATTCCAGCATTCCAGAGACTGAGGGAAGACGATCTTTGAGAGTTTCATTACTTGTCAAAGAAAAAGTTTTTAAAAGCTTGTAATAAGCCTACAGGAACACTGAAGGAAATAAGCACACAGCTCATTAGCCACTTGAAAAGCACTAATGACTTTTGCCAGAATAAAATCTGCATTCAAAAAAAAACAGGCTGGGGAGATAGCTCAGTAGAATAAGTGCTTGCCTAGCAAGTGCAAGGGCCTGAGTTCAATCCCCAGTTCAAAAAAAAAACTGCACTCATTCCTTTTACAACAGGGCATTAATATTCCAAACATTTGTACCCACTTCCTTAAAGACCAAATAACATTCTAACACAATTTTCACAGTAAGTTACCTACATGTTCCAAATGATTACAATGTAAGGAACTTATCAAAAGAGATTGAATGGGTAACATCATCTGCTAGTTTGTATACCCCCAACACTTTATTCTGTTGGATAACATATAGGAACTTTCTATCTTTTTATTTGCGGTGCTGGGGATTGAACTCAGGACCCTGTGCTTGCCAGGCAGGCCCTTATTCTACTGAGCTATCTCCCAGACCCACGAACGTTCAATAGCAAGACCACTTGTATTATTTGCTGGACAAGCTCACGTGCTATTTATTCTAAATTGTCCTCTAGTTCTTATTGAAACTCACTGCTCTGCACACTGGCTTACGATACTTTTAAGGGTTCACTTCCCCATACTGAATTTTGACCAATTACTGACTAAGACACTAAGAAAAAGATTTCTGCTTCTAGTAGCCCCAAAAGTAAAAACTTTAATACTTTTGCTCTTTGCATCAAGGGTCATCCACAACTTCTATCAATGATTCATGCACTCTCAAAGCCATTTTTAGGTAAAACCAGCCCTACTTAGCTTTTGTGAAATCCCAAAGCTAGTAAACATTAACAAACAAGTTTGTAAATACACCAAGTGAAATAAAACATTCTACTTATAAACCAAACCTTTACTTAAACAATAAGGCTTAAAAGACAAACCTTGCCAACTCCAAAAGTGATTTCCCATAGAAAAAGAAGGCTTCTCCACACTCATTAGCTGTTTCTCCATACTTCTTACCTCTATAAACAGAATAAACATCTAAAATTTTAATATCCAGTATGTTGCTATTTATTATCAAAAATGTATAAAATTAACATTACATTTCTTCACCTATAATTTATATTTTATTTTTTTATTCTTCCCCCCCAACCAGGGATTGAACTCACGCCCTTGCACTTGCCAGGGAAGCGCTTATTCTGCTGAACCATCCCCTCGACCCTATAATTTATATTTTAAATAACATCAATTTGCTGCTTAGTATGTAACACAGGGCCCAAATTATATGAAAAGATCATAGAACAGCATCCTGTTAAAGAATATGATTCCCAGAACTATACTACCTAAATCCATAGACCATTCATAAACTGTAACTACCTATATGAACTTAGACAAATATCGTCTTAGTTTTATCATCTATAATATGGGAAACATTAGCTATTGCAAGAACAAGTTGATGAGAGATCAGGGAGATGGCTCAGTAGAATAAGCGCTTCCCTGGCAAGGGCAAGGACCTGAGTTCAATTCCTCGTTCTACAAAAAAAAAAAAAAAAAAACAAGTTGATGTATGTAAAAGAATTTGAAATGATATATAGGCAGGAATGGGGCAAACACCTATAATCCATGCAAGTAGGAGATAGAAGCAGTACAACTGCATGAACTTTAAGGGGGAAGGGGGAAGGGGGAATGATAGGGAGAGAGGGGAAGGAGTGGGGGGAGGAGGAGGGAGAGGGGGAGGGAGGAGAGGGAGACAGGGAGACAGACAGACAGACACACACACACACACACACACACACACACACACACAAATCAATATTTAGGAACTCAGGAGGCTGACCCAGAAGGCTCCCAAGAACAAACCCAGTCTTCATAACAGGATCCTATTTCTAAAAAACTAAAAAACAAAAGCTTTCAACTATAGATGGCACTATGAGTGACACTGTACCAAATACATAAATGAAAAAAAAAAAAATTTTTTTTAAGTGGAGAGTGAAAAAAATAAAAATAAATAAAGTGGAGAGTGAGTGGAAAGGAAGTCGGGGATGCAATTCAGCAGAAGTATGCGGAACATATGCTGAGCTCTGGGTCCAATCATTAGAAAGCTGACTCCTCTTCAAAAAAAAAAAAAAAAAAAAATCAAAGGTTGAATTTTCTCAGTGATTTTTTAATTACAGGAATAAACTACATGCAAAAAAAAAAAAACTGGGTACGTTTTTTGTTACAGTGCTATTATTAACCTCAAGAGGTTCATGTATACAGGGCAAGCACTCTACCAGTCCTTGTTCTTCATTCTTTCCACCATGAAAACAGTGCCTTGTTTCTTTCAGGCTTTATACTAAAATATTTAAGACACGTAGTTCTCTGAAAAAATATAGCTCAGGGGAGTTTTGAGCTGTGTAGCAGCAGCTCAGGTTGGCCTCAAACTCACAGCAACCTTCCTGCCTCAGCTTCCAGAGTACTGGGATTACAGGTATGCACCACTACACCCATCTTAAAACAACTCTTCATAAGTCTACTGGGAACATAATATCATAGTAAAACATGGTACTTACAGGAGACTGGCTGCTTCCTGGAATGCATTGACAGCCGCTGGAACATCCCCCATCACCAGATGTTTCTGTCCTAACCCTAACAGCTTCTTAGCTTCATTATCTACATTCAGACTGAAAGAAGATTTCACTTTAGATCAATTATTGTTCAAATCAACATCTATTAAACACCTGGCATCAATAAATCATAATAGCTTAACTTTTTCTTTAAACTTTGAGACTACTACAACCAAGATCTAGCCACATATTTTGCCACGGTAAAACCAAGTCTCAAGGGCTGGTGAGATGGCTCAGTGGTCTGAAGCACCTACTTAGAACAAGCTTAGCAAAGCACAGGGACCAAGGTTCAATCCCCCAGCACCACATGCCAGCCAGCGCCGCCCCCTGGTGGGCTGAGCTGGCCACACACACACACACACACACACACACACAAATAAATAAAATTAAAAGAAAAAAACCAAGTCTCAAAGACAATATTCTCAGAAGCTTCACTAGAATATTTTGTAAGTTTATATAAATTTTCTACTTATAAAGACTCTATACCTCATGTTACTGCAAATAGTTGATAATCAAGCAATAGAGGACCCATTATTTAAACAAACATAAGCTAAGAAAAAAAATCAAAGAGGTAAAGAAAGAAGACAACAACTGATCTCAACATTAGGACAATAACGCACTGGCATAAAGTAGAGGCCAGGCATGGTGGCACACACCCATAATTCTAACATTCAGGAGGTGAGCCTGGGGCAGAAGGACTGTCACAGCCTGAGCTACATGGTGAATGCATGACTAATCGTTGCCTGGAGAGGGGATAAGTACAAAAGAAAATAGGTGATGAGTACATTTATGGTCTTGATTGCAATCATAGTTTTTTGTTTGTTTGTTTGCGGAACCAGGGATTGAACTCAGGCCCTTGAGTTTGCCAGGCAAGCACTTATCTATTGAGCTATCTCCCTGGCCCCTGCGATCAAAGTTTCCAAGTGTCCATATATATCAAAACTCAGCAGCTGTGCCAGCATATTACCCATAATCCCACTGCTCAGAGTTTGAGGCAAAAGACAGGCAAATTCCAGGCCAGCTGGATTATAGTTTTTAAGATGCTCTCTTAAAAGAAACCAAGAGACTACCTGAATGTACTGGCCCTGGGTTCAACTGCCTACTACAAAAGAAAAGCATCAAAGGGTTCACTTTCAAGTTATGTGCAGGGCCAACCAAATAGCTCAGTGGATTAAAATGCCTGCAAACAGGCCCAGGGACTGGAGTTCAATCCTCAGGCCTGCTGTGCCAGCCCCGCCCCCAGGGCATGCTGAGATGGCCAATTGACACTGGGCATGATGGCACACAACTGTAACCCCAGTTCTTGGGAGGCTGTAAACAGGCGGATCACTACGAGTCCAATCTAGTAGTGAGACCCTGAACACTCTGTAGACCCTTCCCTAAAAAAAAAGAAAAACTTGGAAGGACATTTTAGCAATTCAATTATTTGTCAGGAAATTATTTTCTAAGAATATTTGTAATGATAAAATAATAGATGGGGCTGGTGAGATGGCTCAGTGGTCTAAAGCACCTACTTAGATCAAGCTTAGCAAAGCACAGGGACCATGGTTCAATCCCCCAGCACCACATGCCAGCCAGCCCCACCCCTGGTGGGCTGAGCTGGCCACACACACACACACACACAAATAAATAAATAAAATTAAAAAAAATAAAATAAAATAAAATAATAGAACACACATAAGCCAATGCAATGGTACATTCCTGTAACCTAAGCATTCAGGGAGGTTCAGACTAGAAGATTACAATTCCAATCCAGCCTGGGCAATTTAGCAAGACCTTCTCTAAAATAAAAAGGTTGAGCACGGTGGCACTCACCTAATCCTGACACTGAGGTTCACCATAGATTCCAGACTAGCCTGGGCTACAATGTGTATTCAAAGCCAGCCTGAACTTCATTTAAAAAAAAAAAAAAAAACCTGGCTCAAAAAGACAAAACGGGCCGGGGAGATGGCTCAGTGGAATAAGCGCTTCCCTGGCAAGGCAAGGTCCTGATTTCAATCCCCGGTTCCGCAAAAAAAAAAAAAAACACATCTTGGGGCCGGGGAGATGGCTCAGTGGAATATGCGCTTCCCTGGCAAGCGCAAGGGGCTGAGTTCAATCCCCGGTTCCGCAAAAAAAAAAAAAAAAAAAAAAAAGACAAAACAGAGGCTGAGGTAAGAGATTAGTGCAAGTGCAAGGCCAGTATGGGCAACAAAGTTGAGTCCAAAGCCAGCCTGAACTGCATAGAGTCAAAGACAAAAAAAGGCAGCCAGATAGCTCAGTGGACTGAAGCACCTACTTAGGAAGAGCCTGGCAGCAGGGTTTAGACACCTAGCCTGCAGAGCACAGCCTGCCCCCCCCCACCCCGTGCACACATGCTGAGATAGCAATTGAGACTGGGCATGGTAGTGCTCCTGTAATCCCAGCACTTGGGAGGCTGAAAACAGGAGGATCACTATGAGTTTGACTTGTGTAGCAACACCCTGTAGACCCTGTCCTAACTACAAAAAGAAAAAAAAAGAGACAAAAACCCCAGCACCACAAAACCTCAGCACCACAAAACATTAAGATGAAACTAGCCACATTACGTTAACTTAGTCTATATGAATCT